AGCTTAGAGCACTGTTGCTCCAGCAATCATGTGACCTCAGAGGTCATGTGACACCTTCTCTCATTATGACCTCAGTGGTATGTCAAGAGTTATTTAAATGTCTCTCACGCTCTTAAGCCCAACCAGGCTGCTTGCAAGAGTCAAATAAAAGTTTTGTCCTGTGGATCATAAATATTTTTGCATGAGCTGCTGTGGGGCTGCTTTGTTTTTGTTTTTCTTATACACTCCTAAATGATAAGTAGTATCTCCAAATGAGCATCCATTAACTAGCTTAGTTAATGACATGGAGCTATTTATCTACTCCGTTTTAGGTCAAGAGTCAAGAATGGAATATTAGAAAATGTTGGAGAACTAACTGCCATCCAACGCACTATTTATGTCATAGAACCCTGGTCCAAATGTTAGCACTAAAATAAATCTTTCTTTTTTTCATCCTGACTTAGGGCACAATCCTAACTAGCTTGGCTGGCCTTAGGCTGGCTGAACCAGACTCTCACAATTCCTGCTCCAGGTGGATCGCGTTTCAGAACTCTCCACTGTCCATCTCAGGTGGCCCTGCACGGCATAGCCCAGTGATGGCAAACCTATGGCACACATGCTCCAGCTGGCACACAGAGCCTTCTCTGTGGGTACACTAGCCTTAAGCTGCCATCAAGAAATACCTATCCTCCGATTCCGGATTTCAGCACTCCCCTCTGCTGGTCCAGTGGTTCAGAGGAAGGATGCAATGGCGGTCATTACCGTTCTAGCCCCATGGGGGATTCGAGGACTGTTAAGTATTTTCCTGTTAATACCACCCCTAGGGGGGAAAAAACCCAAGAGTTTAACCCTTGCAGTGCAGGGGCAGGTTTTTCAGTGGTTCAGAGGAAGGATGCAAAGGCGGTCATTACCCGTCTAGCCCCATGGGGGATTCGAGGACTGATAAATATTTTTTTGTTAATACCACCCGGGGGGGGGGGGGAAAAAAGATTTTACCCCTGGCGGGGCGGGGGCGGGGTTTTTTTTTTTTTAAAAAAAAACCCAAGACCTCAGTATTCAGGTTTAATTGCAGTGTTGGCACTTGGAAATAATTTGGTTTTGTGTTCCAGTTTGGGCACTCAGGCTCAAAAAGATTTGCCATCACTAGCATAGGCCATAGCTTCTCTGAATTATTCCAGTCCCTTTGCCATGACACAAAGCAGCAATCCATGAAGGGGAATGATATTTTGGCCCCTTTAAAAACTGCCAGATTTGTTTCAACGTGATCTTTCCTAGCAAGGCAGCAATCCGTGATGGGGAATGATATTTTGGCCCCTTCAAAAACTACCAGATTTGTTTCAACGTGATCTTTCCTAGATTAATATCGGGCACAGACTAACACGACTGTCTCTTCTAAAACTTCCTGGATTAAGTAAGGCCTAGTAACTTCGCTTAAGATCTAGTAACTCAGCGGCAGGCAACCTGGGTCGCTCCAGATGGTTTGGACTACAACTCCCAGAAATCCTCTGGGTCGCTCCAGTTGGTTTGGACTACAACTCCCAGAAATCCCTGCCCATTGGACACGTGCGCTGAGATTTCTGGGAGGTGTGGTTCGACGAGTTGAAGAGCGTCGCGTCGCGCCATCTCCTTTGCGCTCTTCTTCAGAGCGGGAACGATAGGGGAGGGGGGCTTGAGTTCGAACAAGGAGCCTGCGCCCAACGCGGCGTGGAGATGATGAAACAGGGAACGACCGGGGTGTGGGGCTCCGCGCCTGCGTACTACGGCAATGGGCGGGGACATGGGCGTGGTCCTGGCTAGTAAGGGGGAGCCGCGGGGCGGGGCCGGCGCTGGGAGCGTGCTTCATTCTGATTCTTCACGGCTCTCGCGGTCTTCCTCTGTCAGGCAGCCGGTCGGAGTGGGCGCGCGCCATGGCCAGCTACAGCGTGGAGGAGCGCGGCTGCCCCAACAGCCTCGACTACAGAATTTTCTTCAGTGAGTCCCGAGGGGGGGGGGCGGCGGGTAGTATGGAAAAAAACTTGCCAGGGAAGGCGGCCCCTGAGCGAGCGCGCGCGTGTGTGTGAGTGGTCGTATGAATGAGAATGCGGGCGCGCACGCGCCTCGGTTGCACTGGGCGAAGAAGACGGGGTGGCAGCCTAAGAGGGCTTTCACGTGTGCCACGTCTGGCTCCGTGGAAGGACTGTTATTCAGGGTAATAAAAGCACTCGGGAGGCGAGCTTGGGAATGACCCGTGATATGGCCATGATTACTCTGTTTTTCAGCACGCTTCTCGATACCGACGTTCATCTCTAGGATGTGGCTGTAATCGCGGAATTTAAACCCTACAGTTGCAGTGGAGGCCAGACTTTCCTTCCTTACAAAGCTGTTGTAAGAGCTCACAACAAGGCAGTACAGTATATAGGAAGCCCTCTGTATATTTCCAGGGTGCTGGCATTCTATGCAGAGGGGAAATTGATGGTATTGAAAAATAGGAATGTTTTTTTTTATTTAACCGAGGTGTGCTAAAATGAAGGACAAGAATGGAGTCGCATCCTTCTTGCATATTTGGTTGTTGTGCAGTTATATGCGAAGCACTATTATTTTTTAAAGGGGGCATTTAAAGCATGATGGCAAAGGATAACATCACTAGATGACCTTCCCCTTTTGCAGTGCAAAGGTTATCTGGAGTGGGAGGGGAGGTTATTCCTACCTTTATAAACTGTATTTTCCTTGTGGCTTAACTGAGGTAGGGTGAGGGAATTTGGCACATGACAGATATGCTCCTTGTGTCCCCATAAACTGCCCAGAGAATACTATGTACTGTGAGGTGATATACAAGTTAAATGAATAAATACAACACTGGAAGGGGGGGGTTAAGTTTTGTCACTTTATGCCAGAGGGTGAAGGATGTTTGCCTCAGCCCTGCAAACAAGCACTGCAGTGCTGTGAACAGCGAAGAATTTTCCTCTCTCTGAGATTCTTTAATGTCCCCTGATTACTAAAGTTTCTTTAAGATGATTTGCTCAAAATACAGTACTGCAATCAAATGCTATAACTTATCCACAACATGATATGTTATCAAAGTAGGAGAGCACATAGAAACATTAGCTTGCTCCATGTCCATTGGCACAACACAAGTGAGATATAGGTATTGATTCTCTATCAAAATATGAGTAGTTCCCGAGAGAAACTTATGCCCTGGTGTTTCTAATTACCAAATATGCTTGTCATGCCTTGGGGAAAGCAGAAAAAAGGAGTGTGGATATCTGTTAGAAAAGGAGGTGGAACTGGTGGACCAATTGGAGGCAAATGGAGTGTAAGAAACTGGCAGCAAACTTGTGATTTAGAAAAGGGGACTTAAGTGCCAGAAGTTAGAAGGGGGGTCATACTTTTTTTAAAAATAGCTGCTCTCTTCATTTCATATTTTACTGTGTTCTCTTAGCTGGCAGGAAGGCAACTAGTGAGCTGTTTTTACCCAAGCCTCCCCTATTCATCAAACAGTCAGTGGGTTTAAAGTCTGAGCAGTGAAGGTGGCTATAAAAATAAAGCTTCCTCCAGTGTAATCTCTTAAGTCAATTTTCTTTTCTTCCTGGTAATGCTCCACTCCCAATCGGTTTCAGTTTTCACTGTGCAGGGAGAAGCATGGTAAGAACACTGAGATTGTCCAAAGTGTACTTAAATGATATGTCCTGGTATTGACCTTGTTAATAATCATATGCTGTCATATTCTGACTTATTTTGACCCTTTTCAGGGTTTTTCAGGTAGAGAAAACTCAGAAATGGTTTACTATTCCCTTTTTCTGGAGGTGCCTGGGGGTTGCTCGGCGTGCCAAAAGCCACACAGGCTAGCTGTACTCTTATAGTAGGGAATTGAACTCCCAACTTCTGCCTCTGCAACCAGATAACTAACCACTGAGCTATCCATCCAAATATTATAATGCAGTTAAGTCAATTCTGACTTACGTCGACCCTTTTCAGGGTTTTCCAGGTAGATAATTCTCAGAAGTGGTTTACTTTTCCTTTCTTCAGGGGCCATCCTGTGACTGTGCAGCTTGCCCAAAGCCACACAGGCGGGTTCTGCTCACAGGGGTTGCAATGGGGAATTGAACTCTCAACCTCTGGGTCAACAGCCAGATCCTTAAACCACTGAGCTATCCACTGCCTCATAAACCAAGCTGTTGGGGTGAGACTGACAGAATTTCCTAAATCCACTTAATAAAGCGTTGGGCAACTCTTTATTAAGATGGATCAAAACATCAGAAGGGCATCAAGCACTTCCCGAGACTAGACTAGAGCAACTTAAGCTGTTTTCAACCCTATTGTGAAATGGGCTTTGTGTTGTAAACCTTGGATGCGAGACAAATAGTCTGCTTTGGAGGCTACCCTTTTGACCAATTGGACACACATTCCTGTAATTAAAAAAACATGAGTCAGTAGGAAACATAGGAATGCACCTTTCAATCAAGACAGGGTGTCACCAAGTATACTGGTGCTGGGAATAGGGATGTGGGTTTTCTGGAAGAGAATGATATGTGAAATTTTGCCAGTGCCCTAAAATATGATCCGATTTAACATGTTTATTTGACTACCTATAACTTTCTAATGTCTCAAAAGTCCATAAGTATTTGAATTGAAATACTTGATTAAGAAAGAAGAGCAGAATAAAGCACCAAACCTTGCTGCTGTGTATGAGGAGCATGTTGATTTGTTGTTCTGTAGGCAGTAAAATTATTTGGCCAAAATGCAATGTCATGAAGTCAGATTTTTACTCATGCAACAAGACTTTCCGTTCGTTCCCTCCCTGTGCCCTCAGTTTTCAGCACAGATTTTAAGGATTCATGAGAAGCTGTAGTGCAGAGGGAAACTGTTCCACTCCCTTTAGTAATCATAGGCATAGCTGTTCTTTCAGTTGGAGGAATTAATTGGATGCTATCACTTTCACTTTCTTTCTGTGGTCCCTTTTATTTTCCTGCTGTACTTGCTAAATATAGTTGTGGAGGGGAAGCCCTATTAACGTTTTGTTTGTTTTCCAGAAAATGAAGAAGGAGCATACATTTCTCCATTCCATGACATTCCCATATATGCAGATGCTAGCAAGGTAATCCTTGGAGTTTCACTGACTGGTTTTGTTTCTGTTGTTCCCAAGCTGCCCACACGAACTGTCAAATAGGCTGAGCTGCTGAATACCTAAGAACTGAATCTGAATGTAATCCTGGTTAGAGCAGGGCCACTGAAATGAATGGAACTTGTTAGTCAATACTAATGTAGAAGTAAAGTTTCTGATTATGCCTAATAACTAAGGTAACTGCCATTATTAAATAATGGCTGGACCCTTATTATACTTTTATATTGGCATAACACTAGATAAAAATCAGTGGTTTTTAAAAATAAAACTGATTTAAATCACAATTTAAATTTTGATTTTTAAAAAATTTAAATTGTCAAAAAATTCAATTTTCAAAAATTTGAATCAAATCTACCCTGCATAACAAAATCAGTGTAGCTCTTGCTTGTGATTTCCTATGAGATAAGCAGTCAGCATAGGCAACTTGGCATGCAGCAGCAAATGCCTGCACCGACTTCTTAATTTATGGAAATTAACCACAGAGCTTTATGTTGATCAAGTTATGCCAGAGGGCATAGCAAATATGATTCTGGCCAATGATTCTGCAGTGAAGCATGGGCATAGTAGAAATAATCTGAGCTCATGAAAAGTAAATTGTTTCTTATCCTGAATCTGAGCAGCAAAATTCTTTACAGTCATGAGTTTTTTTGTTGCTTTAGCCCCAGCATTATATGTGCCCTTTTCACAACAGAAGAAACTTCCAGCTAGCCCTGCCTTCAGGTGTGAATGCATGTGTCCTCATCATGATGCTGTGCTTGGGCTCTGGAAGAGCAGATCAAGAAGATGGTTCATGGTGTTTTTATATATCTGGTACTTTACAGTGTTCTTAACACTCTTGAAATAAATGCACATTGCAAAGGAGTTTTTAAAAATCTGCACTTGGTTCATACAGTAATTGTGTTCCAAGTGTTTTTCATATTTTCAGATGTGGAGGGTTTTTTTTTTCCAGAAGTGGTGTAAGAAAATTTTACATACTCCTTGTTTGCTCTTCAAAATCAGTGTAGCTCTTGCTTGTGATTTCCTATGAGATAAGCAGTCAGCATAGGCAACTTGGCATGCAGCAGCAAATGCCTGCACCGACTTCTTAATTTATGGAAATTAACCACAGAGCTTTATGTTGATCAAGTTATGCCAGAGGGCATAGCAAATATGATTCTGGCCAATGATTCTGCAGTGAAGCATGGGCATAGTAGAAATAATCTGAGCTCATGAAAAGTAAATTGTTTCTTATCCTGAATCTGAGCAGCAAAATTCTTTACAGTCATGAGTTTTTTTGTTGCTTTAGCCCCAGCATTATATGTGCCCTTTTCACAACAGAAGAAACTTCCAGCTAGCCCTGCCTTCAGGTGTGAATGCATGTGTCCTCATCATGATGCTGTGCTTGGGCTCTGGAAGAGCAGATCAAGAAGATGGTTCATGGTGTTTTTATATATCTGGTACTTTACAGTGTTCTTAACACTCTTGAAATAAATGCACATTGCAAAGGAGTTTTTAAAAATCTGCACTTGGTTCATACAGTAATTGTGTTCCAAGTGTTTTTCATATTTTCAGATATGGAGGTTTTTTTTCCAGATGTGTTGTAAGAAAATTTTACATACTCCTTGTTTGCTCTTCAAGGGTTTTTGTCATTTCTAGCAATCTGCTTATGGTCATGTTTATACACAGTGACCTGCCTTAGATGCGACATACCTTTTGCCCTAGTGCTTGTTCCTTACGCTCTCCCTTTTCTTCTGTACTGCATGCTCCTGTCCGGTTTTTGCTACATTTGAACTGGAAGACTGTGATGTAATATCCCCTTGTAGGGCACAATATCAAAGCAGAACTAAGTGCTTGAACTGAAGGTTCACCCAAGAAACCATGGGTGTTTGACTTTATCAGGTCTAAGGGTTGCATGTGGTGCCAGTTCAGAGCTAGTGTGCCTTAAAGTAAAAGGGGAAAGAGAAACATCCAAGTTCATAGCTATAATTGTAGTGACATTTCAAGTGATGTCTGTACAGTACTGTAGTGGAAAACATAGTTGCAACTGGGTGAGAAGCAGAGATGGAAAGTAAATTTGTTGTTAACTTCATACCTACACAGATCGAAAATTTATTGGCTACAAAAAATGCTTTTTGAAGGATGCAGTTCACCAAGAGTAGCAACTAATTCCTCTTCAAACTAATGAATAAGACTTACTTGTAACTACCTTTTCTTCTGTTATATCCTTTGTTTAGTGTGTGAATCTGCTCTTAAAGTGATCACATGGAGCTTTTACTGCCCTAAAAACAATTACAGTAGAATCTGCAGGGCTCACAACAGAGCAAGGTAGTAAGGACAGGAGTTTCATATGCATCTAGAGTCCAGTGTCGTAGGAGTGATTATGGGGGTTAACCTGTGGCAGCAGAACTGGCTTTGTGGGGGAGAGGGAGCCTACTTGTTGGGAGTTTAACATATGGCTTGCTGATCTTTCTTAAGATGCAAATCCCCAAAGCTACTAGACACAAACAAGCACTGAATTTATTATCCTGAAAGCTAACTGATAAAATTCAATGCCATAGACTTCACTTTTTTTTATTGCACAGATGGCTCATCTGCGTTCTCCACACCTTCAGCAGCAGCTCAGCTAGGGAGTCCAGTTTAAGGCAAAAAGGTTACATTACCTAGTGTTCTCTCTAGTCTTTGCTCCTAATCTTGGTATTTTTAAGATCTTGAGAGGATTGTGAAGTGTCTCTTAGTCTGGGATTGGAGTTGTTCTAAATTTATCATTACCTCAGCTGGTCCCCTTATTGTGTTCTTCATGTATGTGGCTTCATTGTACGTTTCTGTATTTGTCCAGACGGTGGCCTGCTTTGTTTAACCAAGGGGGGCGGGCTGTTCTTTGAACACAAGCAAAGGATATTAAGATTTTGTTCTACATTTCCTTTGCTTGCTTGCTTTCTAATTTAACTGCAGAAGATCATAACATTTCTACAAGTATTCACAGACTCCTGATGAGGACATTGCTGCCCCCCAGAAGGTCTGCGGACCACAGTTTAAGAACCTATGGTCTAGAAGGCTATGCACATAACTTAAAAATGGTAGTGGAGGAAGAAGGAATGAGACAGCTCAAGCACTGCCTCTTATGTCGGTGCTCATTATGTCATTCCAGCTCTGATGGAAACATATTTATGTGAAAGGCTTCTGTCAGATGACCTTTCAGGTGAAACTGGAGGCAGCCAGTCTCTCTATAAAGACAGTGAAACAGACCTATCCCTTTTTATTCCCTCTGCTTTGCAGACTGGGTAAATGACTGTGTCATATTGAACTGTTAACACTCCCGGAATATGTCAGTGCCATGTTTCTGAGATGAACTGGCTTTTTATGTGGCCAGGGAGATGGGACATATATGGGTAATATTCAGTGACTAAGGTGCTAATCCTGTGCACAGCTGCTTGAGAATAAGATGCATCTGTTTTGGTGGGACGTATTTCTTAGTTGCATATTTTGTATAATTCAAAGTTCCCAATAGAGTTTTAGCATTTAAAAATACATTGGTGCCTCGCAAGATGATTGCCTCATGGGACGATTAATCCGCAAGATGATGGGTTTATGCAATCGCTGTTGCGCTTCGCAAAACGGTTTTTCCTATGGGCGATTTTCGCTAGACGATGTTTGGGTCCGTGCTTTGCAAGACGGTTTATTTTTAGACCGATGCTTCGCAAGATGGTTACCCCCCCATTGGAACACATTAAATAGATTTCAATGCATTCCAGTGGGGAACTGCGTTCGCAAGACAATGTTTTCGCAAGACAGCGATTTTCGCGGAACGAATTAACATCGTCTTGCAAGACACCACTGTATGTTTAAGTTTGAAGGCAAAAGTATCCTTGATCCTCCATGTTACTCTGGTTGCCCATTTCTGCATTAATTCTGAAATGTATAATCCTTTCCTCCCCCGCTCCCTTGTGAACACTGTGTGTATTCATACCTGGAATTCATAGGTACCATACTACAGAGGTCCCAAACCCCCGGTCTGTGGCCTGAGCTGGAGCGGGCTGCCCCCTGCACACACTGACCCCTGCACAGCCCATTTGTGCCTGCGTATACACTCCAGCACACCTGTGTGAGCGCTGCGCCACCATTTGCACATGTGCATGAGCACGAGAGTGCCCAGAGAAGCATGCACTGCTGTTTGCGCATGCACATGAGCATGGGGGTGCCCTGCCTTCCCCAGCTGGTTCGCAGACTGAACAAGGTTGGGGACCGCTACCATACTAGCATAGCCTAATAGCTGCTGTTTCAGAAATGGAACAGCCCTTACAGTTCAATCTCATTGATGTATGCTCAAAAGCAACTCTCACTAATTTCAATGACTTTATGTAAGCATGTGTTGGATAGCAACCTTTGTTAGCGTGGGGCCAAAACCCCAGAGGCTTAATGAGGCTCTGGCCTCAAGAAAACTTCTTAGAGTCCGGTTGAATGTGAAGCTTGGCAAGAGCACTCTGTTTAAAAGACAAGCCTTGAAAACTAAGGACACTAATTATACAGAGCCTCTTATCAAACTGTGTCCATTCTTCCCACGTAAATTTAGCAAAGTTAGAGACTTAGATGTGTAGAGAAAACAACAAGAGTTTGTAGTGATAATATAGTATATTAGATATGGTTAAACATACATACAAGGCAATATACATTTGGCATAACACTCAGAGCAATATTGACATAGAAGCAAATGACCACCAGACTTGCTGCTGAGTGGCAAAGGTCTGTTCTGTCTGTTACATTTATACCCAGAGCAACCAATCACATTTCACCATTTACAGCTGGTCTTGCTTAACAATCAAGCATTACATCAGCTTGTTTCACCTGTATGCTGTTAATCGTTACATTGGCTTTTACTTTACATTCCTGACTCTGCACTTCATTACAGTATTAAAATTTAACTCATTGTTCACCAAAAGAACAAAATCCTGACAGTCTTAGTCTGAAATTGCATTGGGGAAGTGATAGAAACTTCATGTGCTCATGGGAGCAGGCCAGCCTGAGAGGGTAACTCAGTCAGGACAGAAGAAGCTGAGAATATTGAAGCAGTAAAATTGGAAACAGTGGCCAGTATTCTGTTATGTGATGTGATCATGAAAAGACAATTATGTAAGCATGCCCCATGCTCCGGCAGATTTCCTCTTGTATGTTCCAGTCTCACACTGGTTGTAAGATCAGTTCTGCAACCGGAGTGGGAAAAGCTTATTTCCCTTGTGCTCCAAACAGGATACTTGCTGGTACATTTGGGGATCTTATGTGATTACTCTGGCCATTCCTGGACTGTGCTAGAAAGGGTGGGAGAGAAATTTTCTCTGTAATCACTACGCAGGGAATGCAGATTAAAATTCACAATGACATATAAAACCCTTGCTCCCAAATGAAAGGAAACTATGTTGATGCAATAGTGTCCCCTAATGTTTAGGCCTGAATTTTATTATGTGCTTATAATTGTACATGCATTCACAGTTTAAGATCCCACAAATGATGTGCTTTCATGTTAATTTGGGATTTCCTTGCCCAGCACAATAAAAAATAAAAAATAAAAAAGATGAGTTTACCAAAGGTTGAAAATGCTTGTCACCTTCCAGCCCCTACAGATGCCTAATGAAAGTATCATTGGTTTCATCACTTTATGCTGTTGTTTATAGCAGAGATACTAATTTTAACTGTGGGTGTTCTTTTGTTAGCATTACATTCTATTATATGCATTGCTATCAAAACCATTATATATCTGATGTGCTAAGAACAATATGAACTACAGTATATATACATTACACGGATGCTAGGAAAACTATAACATGCACGTTGTTCATTACACAAATGTTAAACTTTAGTTTTATAATGTGTAAGATACGGCATATCTCTTTCTGGTTTCTTTCTCTTTTCAGGAGGTGTTCAACATGGTTGTAGAAATACCTCGATGGACCAATGCAAAGATGGAGGTAATTTTATGGCTTGGTTGCCTTAACTTCATCTCCATCAGTAGTAGTTTGTTAAATTTGAAAGTGACTCTGACGTTAATCAGTAGTAGTACGGTACTATCTATGGTTGCTCAGGGACCAATACAACCTGAAACCTGTGAAACAAATAGCATTTTAAGGATGGTTTATTTTTCAGTTCTTCTTTGAATGCTAAATTGAATGACTTCTCTTCTTAGATTGCAACCAAAGATCCTCTAAATCCAATAAAACAAGATGTGAAGAAAGGAAAACTGCGTTATGTTGCTAATGTATTTCCCCACAAGGGATATATCTGGAATTACGGTGCTATTCCACAGGTATTTTATTATATACATATTTTTTGGAGGGGGACCCTACCAACAAAAAGTGACAGCATACACTAATGAGGGGTAACTTTTTCTCCTTGCATGGATAAGTGTTATCAAACTCTCTGGAGAAAAGTATAAGTATTATGCAAGATGTAAAAAGCTGAAACAATGGCTTCATAAAATACAGCTCCCATAATATTGAGTTGTCTTAAAATTGTATAGTGTTCTCTAATAACCATTGAACATTGGATGAAGTGAGTACTGACTGGATACTGACTGAATGTTGGAAACACTGGGACAATTCTTAGGTCCCCTCAAAGGAAAAGGTTGTTTGGAAAATTAATTTATTGTGGCACAAATATTTCTACTATGGTCTTTTAATGGGTTTTAGTAATTCAGATCCATGGCATGTGTTCTGTCTGGCATTAATCAATCCTTTCTGTTAAGGTCTTTTTCTGATTTCACTGATCCCCTGTTTCCTGCAAGGAACAATAATGTGAAAGCTGATATACTGTTGACCATTTGTAGCTTATGTGTCGGCATTGTGATCATTGTGCCTTTTTATATTTCATTTGTTTGTTTAAAAATTTCTCCATGACCACAAACATTTCTGAGACATCATGTGTTCATATGAATGTTTTGTGTTCTGAGACCATTTTGAGGACTTTTACCTCATCCCAACCCAAGCTTTTATGGCTTTAGTTGAACAAAGTATGATGACTGCAAAAGAAAAAAAAGATTTGGTATTACATCAAATGTAAAATGTTCTAGAGTTGTCTCCCTGCCAGGTTTTTAAACCCTGCTACTGACCTGGAAGGAAACTGGGTCAGTTTCTATTAAAGCTCTCTTGAACTGCAGCTTCCTGCTAGCAAGTATATTTAATTCATATTTTTTGTCAGAGTCAAGCTTCTCTTAAAAGTGTTTAGATGAGACACTCCTGGGCTTTCTTTCCTGCGAGCATGTTTTTGTTTATGCATCAAATCTAAAAGTAGCAGAAGCCTTGGTATTTCCCCACTTGATTTGTATGTCCAAAACCAAAAAACGTTTCTTATATTCGGAAACACATTGGCATTTACTTAAATACATGCTTTACATTCATTTAGAAACAACAGGCTCTCTATTTTGTTTCATCCATAATTTGTTCCTTCTGACAACAAAGTCATTACAACTGGCAGGTGATCTCTGGGTGGCTGTTGGAAAACAAAGGGTAATTTGAAGTTGCTAATAAAAGTGTTTCAAGGAGAAAAAATAAATATAAAACTGTAACCAAACAGCCCAGCTTTATGGTGGAAAAGAGCAAGATGTAAGGTATTTAAGAAATAAAGTGGTTCTTTTTTCTGTGTAGACATGGGAAGATCCAGCACATAAAGATAACGATACTGGTTGTTGTGGAGATAATGATCCCATTGATGTCTGTGAAATTGGAAGCAAGGTAACAACATAACTTTTATAAAATGAAGGTTGTGTATCATGCAATCTGTTATCAACCACTTTGAAATGTTGCTCATCCTTATACCTGAGTTGGACTTTTCACTAGCTGCCGCTATAAATATATTACAAGTATATGTACTTAAAATGTGTCATTCTTACCTCTGGATCAGTTAAAAAACCTATGAAGTGTAACTAATGTTCTATATTGGGGTGGAGAGAGTGGGTCTCTTGTGTTATATATAGTTCCCAAAGTCAGTTTTGTTGTCCTACAGGGTCTCACAGAATTCCTGGTATGGAAAATAATTTTTTGGCAAAAAAATAACTTTTTCCACTCCTGGAAGCTGTTTTGTTTCGTGTAGCCAGTGTGAAGCAAGCTCCCCCCCCAAGCCCCTCTTCCAAAACTGATAATGGCTGCTTTTGATTTTTGTTGTTGTTATTTTTGGCCATTTCTGAGCTTAGCGTGGCCTGCGGCAGGCATGGGAGGTGAAATTTGGCCTCCTGGATGACCATAGATGCTTACCCTTCTCTACATACAGCAGAGGTGGGTGACTTGTGACCCTCCAGATGTTATTGGACTGCTGCTTGCATTGGTGCTAAACAGCATACCCAGTAGTGAGGACCTTAATATGTGTTAATAACAATAGAATTCATCATAATATTACATGCACCATCTAGAACTCCATGAGATTCTTGATAGTCAAAAAGGTTGTCTACTACTGGACTGTAGCTTCCGTAAGCTAGAAAATAGGCAAACTGTACATTGGTGCAAAGTAAGTTTGTAAACAGTTAAATCACTCCCCCTCCCAGGGTAGACATATTGTAGATACATTATGAACTGCTTGATGTTATAGGCTCAAAAAACTGTAATGTGGAATTGTTTGGCATGTATCTCTAGTATGTCTAAATGAGGGTGGGGAGTGCTTGGACTTACCTGTTTTGGTTTACAAATTCCATCTGCTTTATCCAGCATAGCCAGCAAGAGTAATGGGACATGTAGCCCAAAATGCCCAGAGAACCAAAGATTCCCCACACCTGCTCTAAATACTATTCTGAGAGCATATGATTTATGCTAGGTACACAGAGGCCTATGTCAGATGAACACCTTAAAGACTGATGGTTTTTTGTTGTTGTTGCAAACCAACATGGCTGTCCTCCTATAACTGATAACTAAAAGAAATAAGTGAGCCATTCTGTCTCCTTGTCCTTATTCTGTAAAAACATTGACCATTGCATTCCAAAGCAGGTTGAATTCTAAATCTGTCTTGTCTAGGTTACATACTTGTAGGGTAGGAAAACAGAACTTCTTTCCAGAAGTGCCTTTGGTTTTATATGTTAGTCATCTCTGATTTTGGCAGTGTAGTGGTTCATTTATCATGCTGAACTGTCAAGCAGACAATGAGTTTTACTACTTCTCAGCTTCAGTTATCCTCGCTTAATAAAATTAGGTGAGCACTCTTGGATCTCATTGCTGAAAACAGGTGTGTAGCAGAGGAGAAATAATCCAGGTGAAAGTCTTAGGTACGCTGGCGTTGATTGATGAAGGTGAAACAGACTGGAAGATCATTGCAATCAATATTGAAGACCCTGAAGCGGATAACTTTCATAGTAAGTAGCACTGAAGTGAGGTGGTAGTTGTCTTCATGTGTTGAGTTCTCCTTATATCAGACGACTGTTTTTTCTCATCAGCAAGTTTACAGTGCAGTGCTTCCAGAACTGAAGGATTGGCTGGCTGCACACTGTTTCCCAAGGGATGCTCAAGTGTACCTGTAAAGCTTTCCCACTCTTCAGGGAAGCTCCTTCTACGCCCATAATTTTAAATTATGTGATACTGTGTGATTGGATGGATGGATGGATGGAGTAGATTCCTAGTGTGAGATAGTGCAGTGGGTGCACTGGGTTGGCATGAGGCCATTGATATCATTAGAGCAACATATACCCAACTCAGTAGAATACTATGTGGCTGCTTCTTAATGACCTTTTAGAATGATAATTTACAAACTTGAATCCCAAGATGTTGGGTTGTGTTGACTGCGTTTCCGCCCCTCCCCCCATCAATGTTTGGGAACTATATTATATGAGTAAGTGGTCATAGGAATTCTGTATGCAAATTCCATTTGTAAATTGAAGACTTGCGGGGAAACCCCTTCCTGGATCTACTTAATTTTTGAAGATGATTCCGACAAAGAGGTTTGAGGTTAGAAGTTAGGTCTTGATGCTGAAAAATGAGACTGGTGGCTTTCCCAGCCTCCCATCCTTTCGGGAAGCATTCACTGAAACTTTTAAAAAAATAATTAACTGGCTTTTAATTTAGAAAAAAAAATCTCAAAGCAAGAGGTGAAATGTCAGGCTAGGTCCTAAAACATAGTCAGGGCTGCAAAAGCTTCTGTGCTCCCTGATCATGCAGGTAGTTCTGGGTGGTGGTGGTGTTGCTGTTTTGTTTTGTTTTTTTTAAATAAGATGGTACTTTTAGATCACTGTAGTTTTGAATTTTTCTCTGTACCTGGTTTTCTTCCTGGCATTCTATCATTAGTTAATGAAATGTTTATGGCTGTATGTGGTTGCAGTGGAATTGTTAAGTGTTTCTTTCCAACAGAGTCTACTGGGACAACTGAGAATAGCTTACCTTAAATAAGTTGTAAATTTTGGCTTCCATCCATGGAAGTGCAGGTGAACATGCAGTTTGATACCTGAATCTAGCTGCCAACTAGAGAAGACCTGTTTAATCACTAGGATTTACATAAGTGTTGATTTACTGTTTCACACTTGATTCAGTGGGTCTATTCTAGTTAGGACTAACAATCAGATTTTGATCAACCCCTTCCATACATTCTTGTATGTGTTGTCTTCTGCAGATCCTATATAATTTCTTACCTATGTTATGTAGGTGCTACGGAAGTGAGAACAGATGCAATACTTGGGGCAGTGCTCTTGGAGTTGGAGTACATGTCCTCCTCCTGTTCTACTATAGTATAATTGAGTAGTATACTTGTATACTCTTACAGCATGCTAACAATTGCTTGTGTTCTTGGTGTTATGCAATAAAATTTCTGATGAGTTTCTGAATGTACACTCTTTCATTTTTTGTAAGATATTGATGATGTCAGGAGGCTTAAGCCTGGATACCTGGAAGCCACAGTAGACTGGTTTAGAAGATATAAAGTACCTGATGGGAAGCCCGAAAACCAGTTTGCGTTCAATGGAGAATTTAAAGACAGGGTATGTGTGCATATCTTGAACAATATTTGTCTGTGAGTTTTTAATACTGATTATCTGCCTAACAAAAATGACATATCCAAAGGGACTGAAAGTATAAAGAGAATATCTACGGTTCTCACCTTGCAGCAGTAAGGATCGCCACAGTAGTATGCACTAAAAATAATTAGTATTCCTCCTTTGCAGTAGCAGTTCCCAATTAGAGTTCTGTGTCTTCTGTATAGAAGTTGGTAACTCATTCGATAGGTCTATATTTGCTTGGAAGTACAGTACTGTAAAATATCCAAGGCTGACCAATTATTTGATCTGATAATTGAATGTTTCTGTTTGATTATCAGGCTTGTTTGCATTTGGGTGTAATATTTTTGTCTTTCTGCAACCTGTCACACAAACCATTTCATACCTATTTCAAGAGGTTTCTACTTTCCTTCATTCCCTTCCTCTTCACTCAACCTCCATGGCACAGAGGGTTGAATTGTTGGCTTATGTATGTATATACATTGAATTCTTGGGGGGGGGGGGAAATGTGTAGCCTGCATAATTAACTTGTAAACTGCCCAGAGAGTGCTTGAAGCATTATGGGGCGGTATATAAGCAGCACGCTTTGCTTTGCTTTACATGCAGCTCCCCACCCTGCAAGGTAGAACAGGCCAGATATACTCTGTGTTCTTTATTAATGGGTTTGTGCTGCCACCCATGTTTTATTGTTGGTCTAAATAAGTGGACAAAGCAAATTTCACAGATAGGACTGGGTTTTTTTAGAGACTTCCTTTAAATTCTGTGAAATTCATTGAATTAGTAGTCAAAACAGTATGGGTAAGACTGATCCCAAGGCTGTACAAAGAAATGTTATTTCATAGCTTCAGCAAATAAATTAAAGTAAAAGAAAACTACATTCAGTACTTGGTGGGTTGCTTAAAAACACACAACAAAACAAGCTAATTTGTGATACTGGACATCCCATGTGTCACTGATGAAAGTGATTTGAACACAATTCTAGATGCACCTGGTGAGACTTTCTGGGCATAGATAGATAATCTTCAAGGAAAACATGGCTGTAATAAGAGGGATGACGTTCAAGGTTAGGTGGAACTGGCTTTCTGACAAAGTGTCAATAAATAAATGAAATGGAGAGGGGAAGTGGGTGGAGAAATCCATCCTTGAGATCCCTTCCATCTGGCTTTTCTGTAGCCCTTCATCTCACACAAACACACCACTCCATACACACATGCACATTCTAGCCTGTATTATTTTTATACAAAAACACAGTTAAGTAGTTCTGCCATTCTCTCTGCTACATTGAGACATAGACAAAGCACCCTTACACTATATTCTACACTACTCTGGAGAACAGTAGATGCTTTGGACACTTACCTCTGTATCTCAGCTGTTCATCCTTTTGTGTAAATCAATTACAGTGAGTACTTTGAAGTCCTTAAAGGTTCTGCCAAAGCATGTTTTGCTGTTCATAGTGGGTTCCAAATTATTTTCAATGAAATAGTTTCATTTTTAGTTACTTCTCTTATTATATAATCTGATCTTTGTTTTTATGTTTTGAATACTACTACATATTTACATCTGTGAATCTCCTTGAGAGAGCTGCTGAAATCCTGTTATACAGCTCTTCGTGTACAATAGTAATGGTATCATCACCAGTGGCAAATTACCACTGATTAAAGATTTCTTTTGGCAATTTTAGGGTACACAAAACTTTGTTGCATTGTATACAAATCGCAGCATTGATTTGTCTTTAATCAGCAGTGATTTGCCATTAATCATTTTATGTCATCCTTGCTGCACATGTGGATCTGCACAGGATTTCTTAAAAGGGGATCTTAAAAGGGGTTTTATAGAAATGCATATAAATAGTTTTTTGCCTGTGTGTGAGCTTGTGTGCAAACTTATCAGTGGGTGGAGACAACGTTGCTGGCACTCCATCTTTTGCTCACTCCAAAATGTGACTTGTGTTAAATGTTAACTCTCATCCAGGAATGCATGAGATGCCAAATTAGTACAGTATTGTATTTTTATAGTGTGCGCATGTGTGTGACATAAGGAAGTTTTTTGGCATAAGCCGAAGGAGATAAAACTGGCAGATTAGTACTGCCACATTGTAGACAAAGAGGAATGGGATGAAATGTGAACTTGGGCAAATGCAGCCTATGCTTTCTTGAATGTACATTGCACTAAACACACAATGTTGCATCACAGTGTTTGAGAAAAGCCATTGAACTTGTGGTCTTTTCCAAATCTTAGGACTTTGCAGTTGATGTTATCAAAAGCACACATGATTTCTGGAAGGCTCTAGTAACTAAACAAGCAGATGGAGGAGAAATTTGTTGGTAAGTTACTGCTGCTTAAAGAGAGAGAATGAAATGCATATAGTAGGTATAATGCTTGTTATAGCCTTGTTGTAGTGTAGGCATTAAGGATATATTTGTCTCTAAATATGACTTCTATGTTGAATAAATAGACTGGAGACAACCTGGTTACTTTTATAACTCAACTTTCTCTTCTAGCACAAATACAAGTTTGGCAGACAGCTGTTTCTGTTGCAGTCAAACATCAGCTGTATCTACTGTGACAGGGGTAAGCAGCTCTAACCAATTCTGTGCTTCTGATGTGTAACATGTCATTGCAACTGGCAAGATCATGCAAAGGCAAACCATCAAATATGGTATTGACTGCAGAATTTAGGATCCTGAGCAAGATTTTCATCTCTTTTTAGGTTGATTTTTGGTGTCCTTGTGAGCGAGTGGAAAAAATGTGTAGGCAGTGTCTGCTAAAATTTCTGGAACCAAAGCAAGGGTCAGAATTCTAATGGTCCAATGGTAGCTCTTTTGTTGATTATCCCTGTGATGGATATGAAGCAGAATCAGTGATACAGTAAAGGAAACATGCAGATCAGGAAGACTCATAAACCTGTGCAGGGTATAGAACTCAATGTCCTGTTTTTAAATGTCAATGACACATATAGGCACAGAGTAAGCCTAGATCTTTTCACTTAAAAAAAGTCCTCGCACTGCACAGACCTCCCTTCAAAAGGCCCTGACAGAGCTGAAGTAGAAGTGATCTCTGCTAATTACTAATTTTGTTCCCGGTCTCACCTAAGTGTAAGTCTGTACCAGGGTGTATAGTATAATACAGTTATGTCTTTTGCATTAGGAGTGGGCAACGTGCTGCCCTAGGATCCTGTGTGGCCCCCAAAGAGTGTTTCTTGCAGTTCCCAGCTTTCCACAATGCTCCCCTTCTTCATGGATTTTTATCTATGACAATTTCTAAGAATGGCAATCCATATTTTATTTAGACCACAGACATCTCACTGTTTTCAGCATTTGGGGAGAAAATCAAATTTTCAAAAGTGGACTTCTAGCCATTTTGGCCTTTTCGACAGGATTGAACATTTTAATCTGTCTGTGCTATCCTAGAGGCTCCTGGGTCAGAAAACTGACCCTAGTATATAGCCAATGCTGCCCATCCCTGTTGTAAATTTGTGGTTCTTAAACCATGGCAAGCTTTCTTATGAAACTTCATTAAATTGCTGTGAGATGCATGCTTTCCCTCAAAATAAAAAAGAAAAGAAAAAACCAAGCTAGTTTGGAATATCTGCCTCATTTAGTTCTACTTGCTGATTGTTTTGGAATGAAGCTCAAATATCCCTTTACTACTTTAGTAGGCCTTTCTCTCTTCTCTAGTCCTTCCTTGTGCATAAAGTAAGTAAATAAACTAAAACAAAAAATAAAAATAAAATGAAGACAAAAACATGTGGGGCCTTAAAAACTAACTGCTATATTCTAATGTAAGCTTTTTTGTTTAAGGTAAGTCCACTTCTTCAGACTTCAGGTAGTCCCACTCTGATACCTCAATAAGTGGACTTACCCATGAGAGCTAACTTTAAAATATTGCAGTTGGTCTTTTAAGTGCCATAACATTTTTGTCTTTTTCTTTTAATTTTTGTTTTGTTTTTTACTCAGCATGCTAGCACAAATTAACATTTTCCCCTTTCCTCATAATTTCTGTTAACCTGGGGAGATTCACAAGCTTCCCTTCTAAAACGGGATAATATTGAGACAATAACCAGCTCCCTATACATACTTTCTCTCTGATTCTGCTTAGGGTCGGTTTGTGATAATACCCCAATACCCTCTTTTTCCTTAGCATTTGAAACATGGGCAAAAGAAAAACTTTGAAATGCCAGGCCATGGTTCTAGGAAGCACTCATCTGTTATTGTTTTTTCATGAGCCCCATTTCCTCTGCTGTATAATTCTGCAGCCCTTATGGGAGGAACTTACTCTTCCTCCTGTTAGTATCAGAAAGGGTGACAATTACATAACACTGGGAGATCTAAACGTAAAGTTCTGTATTGTGTATTGAATTCTTTGTTTCTGAAGCCGGTAGTTTCTGAATTTCTACTGCTCTTCATTTCAGACACCTGCCTCTGGACCTGCCAACCCAATACCAGGTGAAGGTATGCCACCTACATTCCCACTAAATTTGAGATGTACATATTTTGTTATGTGGAGTAGGGGGATGACAGTTGCCACCCTGCACCATAATAATGTTGTGTTGTCAAGTTGATTCTGACTTGTGGTGACCTTTGCCAGGGTTTCCTAGGTCTGAAGTACTCAGTAGTGGTTTATTAATGCCTTCTGGGGACACCTTGGGATTCTATAGCTTGCCCAACACAGCACCGGCTAGCTCTTCTCCTGGGAGGCAGGATGGGGAATCAAATTCCTGACCCTGCCTCTGCAGCCAGTTACTCCAACTTAATGAACTATCCAGCCAGCTGTAGTGCTGTTCAGTTTGCAGCACTGTTCTAGACCTTAGGGCAACCGTTTTAGTTTTACTGCCCCTGTACTTTTAACACCTAACTTGTCTTCTGGCATCTTAAAGAATAATTATTGTTTCAGTTTAAACATGGTCATCCCTCTGCAAATTGTATTTTAAATACTTGGGCACAGATTTTGTTGAGGGCAACTTGCTCTCAAGTGTCCTAAAAATTGCACCTTCCAAAACTGTCTCATCTAAACATCTATTAAAATGAGAGGAGTTGACTCCAAGATTAATCTTCTTCATTGTGGTCTCTATACTTCACACATACGGGTCCGAGTGCCTGCACGAGGCCCTGTTTGGAAGCTTCTAGAATTGAAAGCTCTTATCTCTGGCTCCATCTTGGCATTTGCAGCAGCATACGTCACAGTCACAGAAATCTGTAAGGCTGATGACTGGTCTCAACTGATTACCTTCATCACTCCCTAAATCAATACTTAAGCTTCCAGGGATGCAGGCATTAGCAAAGCTGAACTTTCTGCAATCCTGGCTTGACACTCTCCATCAGTAAGAACAGCTTGTTCTTCATCCACATATGTGAGTCACAGAGACCATGATGAAGCAGTACAGCTTGCTTACCTGTAACTCACACAACTTGCCCTGCCTCCCCATGGTCACACCCAGTAGAACCATGTAATGTGGCAGTTAAGAACTGAGAAGAATGTGAAGCATGCCTATGCAAGCACATAGGGGAGAGTGGAGCCAGAGGAAAGAGCTTTCTATTCTAGGAGCTTCTGATCTGGGCCTCACATAGGTTCTCTGACCCACATGTGTAAGTTCACAGATGACCACTTGAAGAACCACAGTTACAGGTAAGCAACCTGTCCTTTGTTCTGTGTTGCTTATGCCCTACTTTTCTATGGTACACTGCCATTCATATATTTCATCTGCACGGGGAAAATGCCAAAATTAGGTTTTAGAATGTACAAATGGTAAGATGTAATTTTAGGCCATATGCCAGGCCAAAGTATCTAGAAACGATTCTAGCAAATTCTTATTGACTTCTGACATACATGGGACATAAGCTTTTGACTGCTCCTTGCTGTTTCTGTACTGTAATTTTAAGAAGAAAACCAGGAATGGATTAAATCACTACTGATTGTCAGGCTGATTTGTAATGCTTTATCAATAATTTCAAATGGCTACATAATGATGGTAAAATATTTTTGTCTTTCTTTCCTTTGCTTTTAAATCAGCGGATAAATGGTTCTACTGTCAGAAATAGTAAACTGGAAAACAGATGTTGTGGTAGCTGCTGTCTTATCTCCAGGAAACATTTATGCAGAATTAGAGGAGAACTTCAATTTCAAGAAATATTCTGTGTTTAAACAAATGGCCTAAGAGATTTTATAAATCTGTCAATAACATATGCTCAAAATATATCAAGATTATACAGAATCTAAGCAGTTGGTATGTAAAATACAATTTTGAATAGTCTACAAATATACATCATGGCATTCACTGTTATTTAAAAAATTATGTATAGATGCTCATATTTTGTGACTTCCTGGATTAAAAAACTTTTTTTTTTGCTGAATTTCACTGTTGGGTTTGTCTGTGTTCTTAATTTTAAAATCATAAGTTCTGACTCATGAAATTGGGTCTAAATAAAGTTTGCATGACTCTAAGGAAGGAAGTGGACTAGCATTTCATGACAAAATATACATTGGCACTGCTTTGCTGTCCTCTCAGGCAGGAACTCAGCTGAAGGTGTCACTTTCCCCTTAGTTATTGGCCAATGCTGGCCCATGCCTTCTCTGCCAGCTCTTCAGGCACAAAAAAGTCTCAAAGTTTCTAAATGGATTTCATGTTCCACTAATTTCTGTTTCTTCATGTCATCTTTCTCCTAGCAGGATGCAAAGTGCTCTCAAATAATTAAAAAAAACAAAAATTAAAAACCTACAAAAAGCAATTAAAATGATTAAATAAGGAAATACTAAAATCATAAAACAAATTAAGAAATATAAAGCATTTTAAACATTAAAAATACCATATTTTTCCATGTGTGAAACTTTTGTCTAAAATATCTAGATTAAAAATTATGGGTTGTCTTATACACAAAAGTAAGGATGGGAAGGAATCAAAGCAGTTTCCTCACAAAAAAGTGCAAGAAAGTGGAGGGGGAAAGCGAGAATCAAAGTGCTTTGATCCCTGCCTTTCCCCTCCACTTTCTTGTGAAGAAAGAAATTTTGGGTTAGAAAAGTGGGGGTCGTCTTATACATAAGTGTGTCTTATACATGGAAAAATATAGTATATTTTGGCAGCCAATGTTAAGGCAATTTAGCGATGTTAAAATTAGATATTAAGCATTAAAAGCCTGTGGGAATAAAAAGGTTAATATTCTCAACGATACATGTCTAGTGGGGGAGGGGGAACAAAGCTACAAGTGAGTGGCTGATCATGGTACACAGCTCGAGTGCTTTTTAATGGCATAAGTGCTCCTTTGTCTAGTGTTAACTATCCACAGCATTAGCGTTGTTGCTGCTCCCAGAAGTGTTCTAGTTCAGTGGTTCTTAACCTTTGTTACTCGGATGCTTTTGAACTGCAACTCCCAGAAACCCCAGTCAGGACAGCTGATGGTGAAGGCTTCTGGGAGTTGCAGTCCAAAACTCTTGAGTAACCCAAGGTTAAGAACCAGTGTTCTAGTTCATGGTTCTGGACACAGTGTGTGTCAGGCTTTCCTTGTGGCAGTCATGAGTTTCTTCAAGTGTGAATGTGAATATTCATTGCCCCTACTGATGACTTTATCAAGGGCAGTGAAAATGGCTGAATATCAGCAGTAATGTGCTTCATACTAAAAACCACCGTTAGGTGTTAAAATATACAGTACTTCATTAGCTTGATGGATAGAACAATGTTCCACAAAAAAATACTGTAGTATATATTTTATATAAGAAAAAGATGCAAAGCTTCCTTCGGGTCATGGATGCTCTTCTGTAGTACATCCCTTTGTTGCACTGAAGGCACAGTGAATATTTCAGCAAGAATATAGGGTCTGAAGATTATCTGGCTCATTTTCCTGAAGTGTAAGGTAAAGGTTCCCCTTGACAGTTTAGTCAGTCGTGTTCGAGACTAGGGGGCAGTGCTCATCCCTGTTTCCAAGCCGTAGAGCCAGTGTTTGTCCGAAGACAGTTTCCATTGTCACGTGGCCAGCGCAGCTATACACAGAACGCTGTCTTGAAGTGTAATGAGCACCTAATGGGAAACCATACAGTTGTCATATGGAAAGCACTGAATATTCTTATTGGTAACTTTAAACAAATTAAATACAGTGGGGTCTCTACTTAAGAACTTAATCCGTATTGGAAGGTGGTTCTCAAGTTGAAAAGTTCTTATGTTGAATCTGCATTTCCCATAGGAATGCATTGAAAACCATTTAATCCGTATCTGCTCTTTTCCGTCCATAGAAACTACAGTGGAACCTCTACTTAAGAACTTAATCGGTTTTGGAATGGTGTTCTTAAGTTGAAACGTTCTTAAGTTGAAGCAAAATTTCCCATAGGAATGGACTGAAAACCAATTAATCCGTTCTGTACTTATGGAACTCACTTTGCAGTGCTATTCAAATGAGTAGAATACAAATATCTTTTTATTTACTTTTATGGAGGGAAGTTGTGTAAGATGCACCAGACTTAGAAGATATTTCTGCATCAGATATGTTTTATGGACCAGATGTTTCCCATGCTTTTAAAGCATTTGGTGCATTTGCCATTTTCCTCACTTACCAACTTCTCAGTTGATGGATGTACTGCAGAGCCGACTCAGCTGAAAGAAAACATTAACTGTACATTGAATGATCAGTTGTCAATTACCTATTATGTATCTTCTTAACCTGCACCTAAAGCCTAACTATAATGGTGCCTCGCTTGACGAGGATAATCCATTCCTGCAAAATCGCTGTAGAACAAAATCATCGGCAAGTGAAAGTAAAAAACCCATTGAAATGCATTGAAAACCAGCTCAATGTGTTCCAATGGCCAAAATACCTCAGCGTCCAGCGAAGATACTCCTTAGGGCGGCCATTTTCCAGTGTCTGTAAAGCAAAAAAGCCTTCCTAAACACAGCGGGGAGCCATTTTGAAACAGCGGACGGCCATTTTGAAACCTGACGATCAGCTGTTTTGATTGTCGTAAAGTGAAAAATCGGTTCCTGAAGCAGGGAACCGATCATCATCAAGTGATTTTTCCCTATTAAAACATTTTGCGATCGCTATAGTGATTGCAAAATACTCATCGTTCAGCGATTTCCTTGTCTAATGAGGTAATCGTCAAGCGGGGCACCACTGTATAACTTTGTACACACAGCAGGGGTACCTTGCAGCTTTCCAGACATCGTTAGATTGCAATTTCCAGTCAGGTGTAGCCAGCAAAGTGCATGGTGATGGCAGCTACATCATAACATTGTGAGGGCCGCAACTGGCACCACAATCTTCATATACAAGGATATATGTGTGACACAGATAATACTTTTCCTCAGCAGTAATATGCCAGTTTAATGTGGAATATACATATGGCAAACGTTATAAAATTTGCCTATATTTCTGTGAAGTCAAAACATCTGAGTGCTTCTTTTATCCTAGCTGCATGGACTTTGAACATTCATGCATCCATGATGTTTTCTCTGCTAATAAGCTTATGGAATAGTCAACAGACTTCAGAAATAAGTGTGTAATTTCTCCTTGTGGACATAATCTCTTTGTAGGGAAAAATGTCAAGTAATCTTAAAGTGATTCCTTATCCTACATGCAACAGCAGTTGAGACTATACCGCAGCATGGGTTTGAAACTTGCTATTTCATCCAAGCCATTTTGGAGACCACATGTATGAAACAGCTGCTTCCAGGGAAAAAAAGTACTGTACTAAAAATATCTCATTTTCAACTGTGTACTGTATCAGAATTTAAAGTGACACTTTCCAAAGAAAAAGATATCCATCCATTGGTATACAATGAGTTTCTCTTTTTATGTGAACAGGTTTTTGGTGGTTGACAATTGAGGACCAAAACATGTGAATGTTACTTTGATTTTGTCCTGATGTATTGATGCCAACATGGAACCTCAACCAACATCCAAAGTCGCCATGCATTTACTATTTAAAAAGATGGCTGTGCCTACACCATCTGGCTGTAAAGACGTATGACCTGCAAGACATTCTCCTGGCTCAAGGGCAGGATTCCAGTGCCAGGGCAGGAGAATGCATACTGAAGAATTAGAAGCAGCAAGCTAAATTTTGCCAATGTGACACAGTTTTCCAGCAGACTGCTCTGGGCGTACTGAGATTCAGTGATATTTGTCTTCCGAGTAGAAGCGATCCTAGATGTAGGCCCTCTTGATCTTCTCAGGGTCCCTCAGCTTGGACCCATTTCTTTCCACGGAGATTACTGGGAAACCAGCCTACGTGGCCAGGACGGCCCCCATCAGTTTCGCCGAGCCACCGGTGCACTTCATAACCACTGTTCCTGCCTGCTCCGAATGGAAACCGCTTCTCCGGGTCTGCCTGTTCTCTGAAGGTTGCCAGGACCGAAAAGTCCTTTCATAATCTGCCCTCTCCAGCCACCATTCCCCAACACACCAGAAGGTGGACTCGAACCCGCCGTTTTGGAGAGCAAGAAACCAGGTCCCACGCTGCGGAGGGACGGACTCGGTGCGTCCGGATTCGAGCTTCTGGGGGGACTCCACGTCCCGTCCCTTTTCTCGAGGCCCCCCTTCGGCGCTCTTCTCCTACGTGGCCAGTCGAGGGTGGGTGTCATTCACACACAAACCCACCTTTTGATTACCGTCGTCGCCTCCTTTCTGCTTTTCTGTCGGAGCCGTAAAGTTCCTCGGTGGAAGTGGGGGCCGCTGTATTCCTTTCTCGTGTGATCTACAAAGAAAAAAACACATCGCGTAATAGCAGGAAAGACACATCCATGCAAACCCCCACCCCCACCCCCCCGCTAAAATGAGGTTGTGGGTGGGATATGAATCGCTTTGGCTTGCTACTGCCGGTTTTTTTTCCGACTGGTTGTTCACTAGAATTTGTGATTAGTGTGATGATGTAAGCACAATGCTTTAAAACACTGAAATACTCTGTAAATGCTAGTTGGCAGTATTTTTCTCTAACCCTTTGTTTTAGTCTCCACATCTCATAGCTGCCACACACACACACCAAGCTCTGTTTCCTGACGTGTCTTCCCCTTCTTTTTCCCCCCGCCGGAAGTAGCCTTAATGAGGAGGCAGAGCCGGAGTGACGTAGTTCCGGCGTGTCGCTGGTGCCCGGGGAGCGAGCGAGTTGTAGGGAAGAGGCTTAGTCGCCGCCGCCGCCTCCTCCTCCTCTCCCCGTCGTCGAGGCTGGTGCCGGGTTCGGTCAAGAGAGGGCCGCCGCTGGGAAAGGTGAGGCCGCGGAAGCCAGTGGGGCGACCTTGAGCGGCTTCGGGGGAGCGGGCGGGGGGTGGTCGAGGGTGGGTGTCATTCACACACAAGCCCACCTTTTGATTACCGTCGTCGCCTCCTTTCTGCTTTTCTGTCGGAGCCGTAAAGTTCCTCGGTGGAAGTGGGGGCCGCTGTATTCCTTTCTCGTGTGATCTACAAAGAAAAAAACACATCGCGTAATAGCAGGAAAGACACATCCATGCAAACCCCCACCCCCACCCCCCCGCTAAAATGAGGTTGTGGGTGGGATATGAATCGCTTTGGCTTGCTACTGCCGGTTTTTTTTCCGACTGGTTGTTCACTAGAATTTGTGATTAGTGTGATGATGTAAGCACAATGCTTTAAAACACTGAAATACTCTGTAAATGCTAGTTGGCAGTATTTTTCTCTAACCCTTTGTTTTAGTCTCCACATCTCATAGCTGCCACACACACACACCAAGCTCTGTTTCCTGACGTGTCTCTGTTTTTTTAAAAAAATGTGAGACAGACTAATATGCCAACCCAGTGATGAGGAACTTGGTACCTGTTGAGCTTCTGGTTCTTATGTAGCTTTTAACTAAAAGGTGCTTCAGTAAACAAAATAGAAGGAAAGATAGGAACAGTTTTTTCCTGTCAGTATCAAGGAATGTGGCTGATCATTATTCCCAACCATTCTCAGAGTGTACTAAAGCTTTCAGAAGATGCTGCCCTTTTTAGGCTATTTTAATCTTTAATCTTTCAGTGCAAAGGTGGGGAATCTTTGGCTTTCCAGATTCATTTGTCTGTAAAAGTATGATTCCCTGCTCTTGGCTAAAAGTAAGGTTCATGGCAGGTATTGGCCAAAACATTAATAGAACCAAGGTTTCCTGTTTCTCATTAAGAGTTGGTTTTAAAGTAGGAAGTGTTGTAGTTTAAGCTTCTCTGCAGTCGCAGTGTTCTGTCCACGAAGTGAAGTACAGTTATAGTGCAACTCTATTGTGTACTTGGAAGTAAAAAATTTTTACATAGAGTGAGACTTCTCTGCTTTTAGACAGGGTATAGGACTGCGGACATACCTTCTTGGTAAGAGAAATGTTTTTCACACAGGTTGAGAATCACTATTGGTACTCCATGTTTCTTAAAAGTTCTTTACATAAAAACAGTTGGCCGGGGCTGGACTTAAAAAAATAATTTGAGGCTATTGTAGTTTGGCATGTCTTGAAATAACAAGACTTACTGGAAAAGACAAGGCTGAGAAAAGGTGGAGGTAGCAGGAATTGATGAGCAAATGTGATGAATTGGCTCAATAAAGGAAGCCAGTGTCTTGTATTTGGAAGACCTGAACAAGACTGTTAATAGTAATATATAAGTCTAGGAAACTTTGAGTATGTATCTTATGGCAGCGGTCCCCAACTGTTTTGGGACCGCAGACCGGCTGAGCCTCTGAGGAAAGCAGGCCCCTCCCTGCAGGTGTGTGTGCGCTCTCAGGCACATCCGTGAAGTGGTGGGGTAGCGCCTGCCCATGCTAGCAAGAGCGCTCCCCCACCCCTTTGCACATGCGCAGGGGCACCTGTGCACCTGCCCACCCCTTCGCACAGGTGCTTGGGCAGTCGGGTGCATGTGTGAAGGGGTGGGGGAGCACTCACGTCAGCAGTGGCACGTGCACAAAGCAGCTGTGGGGAGGGGAGTGTGTGCAGGGGGGGAGGTCTGTCTCTGCAGTCCGGCTCAGGCCGCAGACCGGCAGCGGGCTGTGGACTGGGGTTTGATGACTTCTGTCTTATGCCATTTCTGTCAGAAAACATTTTGGCTTCATAAATGAAGTCATGTTAATCCATTATTTATATTATTTCTGCTGGCAGAGGGACTAATTGCAAATGTAGAGGGTATTGTGTAAGCTGTTTAGCGTACTTTGTTGTCCTGTTTGGGAGAAGAAGTGTTACTTTGTTCCTGCCATTTCCAAACCTGCTAAGGACCTACTGCTCAGCATTCTGTTTCTTTTAGTTCTTGGATATTAAATGACAAGTTTCTAGCATATTAGGTAAATGTTGTAGCTGAAATATTCTGGTATGCAGCCAAGAATCCTAACTTTGTGTGTAATATTTTTTTTTTACTCTAGCAGTTGATCTCACACAATGTCCTTCATATTTGAATGGATCTATAACGGCTTCAGCAGTGTGCTACAGTTTCTAGGTAAGGCTTTGTATTTTCCCTGTGACCTTATTCTTAACATAGAAATGAAACTCTGATTTGGGTAATTTTAGGACATATGTCCTTCTAATGAGCTGTGGTCTTTCCACACCTGATCAGATTATTTGACTTGATTGATGTTTCAGTCAGAAGCAATGCATTAGTTGGACACTATATTTAATAGTTCTAAGAGGCTAAATGGAACAAAAGGTAATACTAGTGGAACAGAAAATGAGTCCGAATAAGGGTCCTTTCCAGCTCAGAGTTCGTAACTAGCAGAGTCAGTAGTCAGAACCTCTGGGAGTTTCAGTCTCCAGTGTCGGGGATCCCATGCTTGGGAACGTTTGGTCTTCATCTTCTGAAAATGCAGCCAAAAGAGCATGCTTTTTCTAGACATATTTCTAAGGATCTGTTTTTATTGCATAGCTTACTGTCATCAAAGTTTAAAGTGATACTTTCCAAAGTAAAAGATATTCATGGTACACAATGAATCTTATGTATGTTATTTTTCTTTTCTACAGGATTATATAAGAAGTCTGGAAAATTAGTTTTCTTGGGTTTGGATAATGCAGGGAAAACCACTCTTCTGCATATGCTTAAGGATGACCGACTAGGTCAACATGTTCCTACGCTGCATGCCAGTAAGTTTTATCTGTCTGTAATTTGTGTTACCTATTTTGATCCTTTGAAATTTTTCTTCAATTTCAATAAACTTTAAAGCTTGGCATATATCTTTAGCAAAGTGATGTAGTTATTTCAAGTTATTTTCTTAGAGGATTATTAAGATGCAGCGTGAGTGTTAAAAAAATGAGGAATAAAGTATCCAGTGTATGATACTCAATACATACTTTACCTGATGTTTAACAAATGACAGTTAATTCCATACTCTGTGGTGCTATGTAAGGTTTAAGGAATTAATTTGAGAATTGCTGATCCTTTAAGGTTTCATGTGTTTTGAAGGCCTTGCATCTCCTTATAATCAACATTGTTCTGTTCAGACAGTACTAACATTACTGTCACTTAGGCTGATAAACCATTCCTCTTTTTATCCAGCGTCAGAAGAGTTGACGATTGCAGGAATGACTTTCACCACTTTTGATCTTGGTGGTCATGAACAAGGTAAAAAGAATTCTTCTTTTGTGGCGAGCAGCTCATATACATTTTCATTTTTATGTTAAGAATCATCTAAGAATAATCAGGTAGAAGATTTTGTCAACTAGACATGATGATCTCACAAAGGGCAGGATACTGAGAATCCTTCTGGGAGTTTGGTTATCATTGATTCTGTGTAGAGGGTTGCTGCGATCACTGAAATGGTTATGAGGTGATAAGCTTGGCTTTCTACATATTATTAATCTATTCAGTATTATTCATCTTATGAGAGGCATTATGTAGAAGCAAAAATATTTATTTTTAGAATTTAAAAAAATTACAATCAAGAAGTGACCATAAAAATCTTGGAATCCAACAATAAAAAATCCAAAGATTTAACCTGGTGCTTAAATTATTAATCAGGTGTGTGAAAACTGCACTTATGTTTGAAGGATAAGCATATGGAGTAGCTAGCAGTGATGTTTACTAGTTGTGCATTTGATGGCTATCTAGAGTTTGAAAAATAACTCAATATATGAATTGCAAATATTTTCTCATATACTACAAATCATGTTTCTAATTCTGTTGTCACTGTTCACATTCCTGTTCATGCAGCTCGGCGTGTCTGGAAGACTTATTTCCCAGCAATTAATGGAATTGTTTTTTTAGTGGACTGTGCAGATGAACCACGTCTTATAGAATCCAAAGTGGAGCTTAACGTATGTAGCTTTAATCTTCTAAAATACGCTTGCATACCATAGTCTTAAAAATAGGAGAAATCTAATTATTAAGGTGCGTTCTTTGCAATAATTATTGGCAAGGTTTCAGTAGCACTTGCAAAATGTTATAGTTAGAATTTTTGCCAAGAATCATTATTTGCTTGTGGCAGCAAATGTTATAATAATTAATTCCCTTTTTTCATTAGGCACTAATGACTGATGAAACAATTTCCAATGTGCCAATTCTTATCCTGGGTAACAAAATTGACAGATCTGAAGCTATCAGTGAGGAGAAGTTGCGAGAGATTTTTGGGCTTTATGGGCAGACCACAGGCAAGGTAAGGAACTGAGAGATTTCTTTCTTACAGTTTTTTTAAGGTCCACAGATTTTAGTGCGTTTTCAGGTAGATAACAGATATTCAATAAACCTGGATCTCCTATGCATAGTCAGTTTGCTAACAGGTTTAGCCAATGCCATAATAAAGATACACTGTTGATGAAGAATTGAAAGAAATTGTGTCTACAGAACAGTTTTAGTTTATAGAATTGAAAGAGATTGTGTCTACAGAACAGTTTTAGTTTATATTTATTCTAATACAGTGGTGCCTCAATTTACGAACTTAATCCGTATTGGAATGGTGTTCATATTTTGAAATGTTCATAAGTCAGAGC